CCCAAATATGGTATGCGTGGCATGGAAATACGATGGAACCACTTACCCTCGACAAGCTAGCTCCGTCAATATTTGCAATGAGGTCGCGGGTATGTTGCTAAATCGTTTGCCCCTGCTGAAGTCGTTAGGCGACTTGCTTGTCGGCACTTGGACTCGTGGAGTCGTTGCTTCCCCGGCTAGCTGCTAGTCTGCCACTTGGCGGCTTCTTTCTATTTCTTTTATGTTTTTTGGGCATGATTGTGTTGTTGCCCCATCTTATTTACTTTGGTTCCTCGAACTTGGTTGTATGGATATTTGCTTTATTTATAAAGCAGGCTGAAAGACTATTTCAAGAGAGAGAGAGTCGTTGCTTCCCTTGTGGCCATTTTAGTCGTCTATGAACCGTTGTCACGTGACATACCCTGCGGGGGGTAACTGCGCAAATATATGGATGGTGATGCAATTGATCATTGGCTTTTGTGCAGCAGGTGGATTTATACACACATTACCCCCTTTGATGAAGCAACGCACCTTTCCTTCATTCCTCCGTTCTCAATTTTGTAGAGCCCAGAGCTTCTTCTTGCGTTCTCTCCTCCGCGCGTGCCTAATGGACTGCCATGGGAACCACTGCTACGTAGAACTTCCAGTTGGGTACGCAGGCGGCCACATACCACGCCATATTTTTATATATCAATAGTGGAGTATTCAGAATCCTCTATGCATATTAATAGAAATTTGTCCGTTGTTACAAAACTATAATGGAAAAAAACAAGGATTTAAATTTGTCAAATGAGTACACTGATTAGCTTTGGCTTGACAACCAGTTATATGCAACAAACAAGCAGTGGTTCAATACATGAATTTAGAGATAACAACCACATAATAGTTTGATGCATGATTTAGAGACAGAATGGCCAGAGTGTGTACACACGTACATCATGCAAAAGTTGTGGTCACGCAGGCAACTAAAAGTGAAGTGGGAGAAGTGTACTCACCACCAACTCAAAATTTTGCAAGTAGGAAAGATTTGGTTTCACTTTCATCACAAAGAAAAACCCCAGCTGAAAGAAAACAAGGAAAGCAAATCTGTTAGCTTGGGCATTGTTGGCCATCGGTCATTCTCAGGTTTCACCCGCTTGAGAGCAAAGAGGAATACACATGTCGCTTCTCCCAATTTAAGTAATGATATATGATAGGTCCAGGTCTTAACATTTTGGCTTCAAACACAAGTAGTGAGCAGTAAGTACCTCACTTTATCACAATTCACACCTAACGGCAAAAGTGTTGGCATCAATTCGTTAGATAACAGTTTCCAAAAGCCGTAAGAAGACTGCCACCATATAATAATTAAATAAATATTTCTACACCGCCAGTGCTAAGCAACAATATAATTTGTTTAAGGTGGGACTGAAACTTCTCCCTTCTCTCGCTCTCTGGGGTTGGTTATGCATGTATGTATGGATGGATGGATGATGGCATGGTTAGGTTGCTTGTCGGGCATCGCCGGTGTGGCCAGCTAGTGCGGCCAAGATAGCCACAGTGGCTAGGAGGAAGCTTCGTTCATTGTCGGCTATGGAGGTGTACGTTTGCATGCAATGCAAGCAATGCAACGAGACAGTAGCTCATAGCTATGTCGTCTGGTCTCTTTTGCCGCGGTAGCTATGTCGACGTCGTCGTCTGCATACTTGAGGCTGGTACTTGCAACAACTGGCAACACTGCCAAAGCTAAGGCAACTGTCCATGATGAATTATTGTCGTGTCTCGTCTTTAAGTTCATATATATGTCTTCTCATTCAAAAAAACTACATATACTCCGTATATGTTAATTCTAGCACATTGCTACGTGATTCTGAGTGCTGTTGTAGTAATGAAGGCTTTCGTCCGGCATTATATTCTAACTCCCTCCGTTTCATATTAGCTGACACTCAAACAGATGTATCTGAAGCTGGAAACTGACCCAACGAACAACAAAGCGAGGAATAGGACTCCTCCTCCCATGTCGTCCCCGCGGGCGACCGGGGGCAAACCCTAGAGCGCCGCCAGCGTCCTCTCCTCCTAGCCTCCCTCCCTCGCCGCCGCTGCATGGCGCCACCGGGCCAAGCCCGGCCGGCATAGGTGGCGGTAGGGAACTGACTCCTCTCCGCTCGGGGCGCGGCTCGCAGGACAGCTTCTCGTGCAGGGGCAGTGGGCTGGCGCGACGGCGGTCGCATGGGTCAACGCGTGTGCGGCGAAGGCTGGCGCGGTGGCGGACTGCTGCTGGCAGTGGTGCAACGGGTGCGAGGAGACTGCTCAGGCGGGTGTGTGCGCCCTGTTCCCTGGCCAGGTATGAACGGATCTGGCTCGGGGTGGCTGGGGCGTGGCGCGGGCGGTAGCCAAAGGCACAGCTGGGTCTCTGGAGGCAGTGTGTTGCGTCTGTCTCGGGAGGGTGGGCGCGGGCAGGCCCCCGGCCAGATCCAGCCTCCTGGCTCAAGGTGGCGGCGCAGGCCGTGGCAGCACGGGTCGGCTGCCATGGTAGCTCCGGCGGCGATGGTGGCTGGTGGAGGTAGGCCAACGACCTTGGGTGGCGTGGGTTGGTGGCGGTGGTGGTGGTGCGTGCCGGCTGGATCTGGCGTTTTCCAGCAGGCGGCGCGGGTTGGGGCACCGGCCCGGCGTGGCCGCTCGACCTTCTGGTGGCGGCTTCCATTCGCCGCGCCGGCATCACGGCAGCTCGGCGTGTCAGCTGCGGCGGCGGCTAGATTCCCTGTGTCGGCTCGTTTGTATGCGACACGGCTCGACCTTCGATCTATCTCCTTGGCGTACGGCCGGTATCTTCGTCGATGGTTGGCCCTCCCTCAACTGCGATCCATCACTCATCTTGCGCCCGGCGGCATGACCGAGCTCGTCTCGCGCCGGTGCCTCAAGATGGGTCGATGGAGGCCAGTTTTGGCCGGCCTATTGGGTCTCGACACTAGAGGCAGCCTAGGGATGCGAAAGGCGGGTCCTTTTCGCTTGTATCTTTGGTTGGGGTAGCGGCGGGTCTCGGGTAAGGTGGTGTCAAGGTCTTGCATGTCGGGGCAGCGGCCCTGGTGGTGGGTCTGCGATGCTCATGGGCAGAGACTGTGGCTTGGTGCTGCCCGGTTGCCACGGGCGTGTGGGCGGCGTGGTAGCCGAGGTGTGGCGTTCGGTGGCGGTGAGTCGTGGTCGGGGTGAAAACCTACTCCATCTTCGGACGGACCGGCGGCAGCGAAGCTCGTTCCCTTCTTGAAGGCGTCGGCGCGGCTCTCATTGCCCGTCGTCTTGCTCCAGGGAACACTCTGATCCTCGGATCAGGCGATGGCGGCGCTCCGGTGTCGTCCCCTTCCTGAAGGTGTCGCTTTGAAGCCCACGGTTCGTCATATGCGGCTTCACTTCTTCGCGGTGGCGTGTTCACGGCTGTAGCCCCCGGCTACTCTTGTAGTGCTAGGGATGGTGTTGCTGCGCTCAACGCCAATGTATTCTACCTTAGATGTGTGTGTGTGCGTGTGTTATGGGGGCAATGCGTTTGTACCAGGTGCTGTTGATCGTTGCTTTATATATAAATCGAGGCTCAGTAAATGAATGTATCTGGCACTAAACACATCCAGATGCATCTGTTTCAACGGCAACAAATATGAAACAGAGGAAGCAATAAACTAGTAATGCCCTTAACGGCCAATAATACGACGATGATGGTGCGTGCCTCCTTCTTGAGCATCTGTGATCTAGATCTGTGAGGAGAAAGCATGACCCTCGTGGCTCTTAATTTATCTTCCTCGAGCATCTACAGAATTTTGATGCATTAGAGCATCTCCAATCCAACTTGCCGGATTTTCACACCTATTCGCTCCGTCCTTGAAAAAATGTACTTTCAACTTTGTTTGAGGATCAAACTATCTCAAAGTTTAATCGAGTTTGTGTAAAAATATATGAGTGCTTGTGAAACCAAATAGATATGACGAAAATATGTTTTATCATGAATCTAATGCTACTAATTTGGTGGCATAAATGTTGGTCTATTATTATATAAATACAGTCTAACATAAAAAAATGACTTTTCAACAAAATTGAAAGTACACTTTTTCAAGGACGGAGGGAGCACCCCTTATATGCCCGCGGATACATGCAGACAGTGTCGGAGGACATGTTCGGACATCCTCATCTTCTCCCGACATATTGATTTGGTTTGGGAATTTGCGAATGTTTGCACACATGCAATTTTTTTTGGAACCGTTTGTACACATGCATATGAGAGAGAGTGAGAGTGATACAGGTTGGGCCGGATCTGATGTACGGGTTATATGGTCACATCCGGACATGCCCATTTCCTCTTTTCTGGCCGGATCCGACGTACACCCAACACTCTTATATTAGTTTACGAACGGAGCACATGTTGTATTGTCACATTCGGACACCCGTATTTCCTCCTAACATTTGAACTGTGTTCGGACGAAGGGGAAGGTTTGGGGAATCTCGGTTGGTTAGGCTTTTTTCTCCTCTCTTTTCTGTCCGGGCTGTTCGCTGAGACATATGAAGAGGTTTTGAGGGCTTTGGTTGGATGGAGATGCTCTTAAAAATGTGTGTAATTGTACTACTTCTCGTCCCCCATCCTGGTAATCATGATGTTTCCTAACTAAAGTATTGTTCTATGACACCAAGTCAGGACCTTGCGGTGCTAGTCTCTGTGATTTCTAAACGGCATGATAATTTTGCACACGCTTACGCAAGGTATAATTTTAGATAGGTTTTATTGTAGCAAGGAACACTGATTCAAGTTTGCAGACCATACGGCAAGTTCTGCGACACTAAAGGCGCTTATCCATGGAACAGAACACGACGAACAACAACAATCCATGTAAACACATCTCATCCGGATCACTGCTGCTTCAACACAACCGATCGATAAATAGAATCGAGAATAGTCCTCCATGGCCTCAGGTGCAGCTTTCACCTCTCTTTAGGCTGCTCCTAAGGCCTCCTCCAAACACCCACTTGATTTAAATTATAATGAGCGCACTATGCTCGACTCACATTTTCTTGGAGTCCGAGCTTTCATTTTGGTAGCCTTGAAGAATTGTGCCGCAGACATTCATGGCGCGGGCATCTAATAGACTGTGGTTCCAGAGTTTAATCATAAGGAAACGCCAGCTCCTGTTCACCCAGCGAGAAATTGCAAGTCAAATAAACACCAAACAAAAAGGTGCCTTGCTAGGCGTTACAGATGACCACAAGCAGATGCTACTCCCTCCGTCCCAAAATATAAGAGTGTTTTCGACACTAGTGTAGTGTAGTGTCAAAAACAATTATATTACGGGACAGGGGGAATAGTTGACGTCGATAGAACTATAGCTCAGCAACTCACCATAGTAGAGGAGGATTCTGTACAAGATGTTTTCCATGAAGCCGGGAGAATGCCTCACAGGCCCAAGGAATATGACCATCAGCTAGCACCCTGTAATTTAGCAATTCAGTACGAGAAATGGACATGGAGGGTTCCGTGGGTATCACTAGACCAAAATTTGTACCGCATAGGATGAACACAACTTGTCAAAACAAAGTTGTGATATCCTCTGCAGGAAAAAATATCATATATGGTGGATACACATAGTCGAATCAAACTCAAACGAACATTGAAGGCAACAACAGAGAAAACGGAATGAAAACTTTCAATGGAGTATCATGTCGTATGAAAAAGTTCAAAAAAGAAGCATATAGAAATAACCCATGCCCAACACGGAACAAACAGCCTTCCGACAATCATCAAAATGAGAATGACTGGAGAACAATGCATTCTGCGCAAGACGAAGACAAAATGGTACCCCCTTCTCACTGGAAACACCCCCAGCTTAACGCATCACAAAACACCTTTTAAAGCAATATAAAATGACGAGGACTTGGTACTCGAAGAATTTTCATATCCAAAATTTCACAACAACTAAAATCATAAAAAAGAGATTTCCAATTCAGGAAGAACGCAAAAATAGTCCTGACCTTTGTTTCCGAACAAATGAATTCCACATATGCATAATAAGTTTCTCATCATCTGTAACGTCAACAAAATCCTCAAGCATCTGCAACACAGAAATGTAATAACTTAAAAGGGGGAATAGTAGAAATAAATTTTTAGACAGAGACTGACTTGAGCTCACGTGCAGGCAACAGCATGAATATAAATTTTATGTTTCCGAACAAAGACGATGAAAAAAATATGATTGTATCTGACCCGTTTATCTTCAAAATCGGCGATGTCATCATCAACTTCATCTTCACTATCACGGTCCGAGAAAACTTGTTCCAGTGCCATTGGCTACAAGAAACGTAGTAAATGCAGTCAAGCTAGATTTCAAATGTAGAAAAATAAACTGTAGATAATCCAAAGTCCAAGGTCATGATAACAAATAAATAGTATATAATACTTAAAATCCAATAAACAAAATATAATTAGGGGCAGTGCAATAACCAAACGATGAGCATCTGCATTAAAAGCAAGACAACGAAGACTGGCGTACAGCCAAGCGCAACCATATAGTCTGACACTCAAACCAGACATCACGCTAGCAAGACTGGCAGTCTGGTATTTGTGTAAAATACACACGCAAGCTCTTCCAGATCACCATATTTTATTTCAAGAGAAGCTAATCGTGAATGGAGAAGAGTATTACTGCACACCAACCTCTGAGGAGAAAGAACTTAACATTTTGGACCTCAACTATAAATCAGCATCAAATTCAAATGCTAAGTTAGAGGTTGAACTGATTATTCCCCCATACAAAATAACTAAAGACCAGGCACCCAGAAAACAAAATGTGGATACAAAATCCTAAAGGCTAAACAAGAATTATGGAACTATCAACTATGCAAACAGGCAACAGAAATAGATCAAAAAAGTTTAAAGAACATAGAACAATACAATGAGATGGGTTTTTATTTTCCACACACCTGTGCCCTGTGAGAATGGAAAAACTGACGTTTCTGCAGGAGTTGCCGGCTGCCAGACAGTATACAAAATAAAACAGTTAGTTTAACTTAACATTTTAAATCTTACAATGCATAATGTGATACCGGCAATGTAAACAGAAGGGTTACTTTCTGGGATCAGCTCGCTCCGCAGATAGTTTCCTTGTCTTCCCAAACTGTAGTACTGTGGGTGGTGAAAGATTGCTACCATGTAATAATTGAGCAGGATCAACAGAAGCACGTGGTGCAGAAATATCTGGAAATTTTAGACAACGGAAATGGGATATGAGCACATGTAAGAAATAAACATTTGCTGCCGTAATCTGTTTCGCAGGAAACAACTTATCATGTTTGTAATATTCAGATATAACAGAAGAAAGTTGCAATAATCTTCACCTAAGGTAAGGATATAAATGTTTCGGGTGTGTTATATTCAAAACAGCATGCAGAACTTCTCAATGCTGAAATTCCGTGTGCATGAAACAAACAAGAACTAGCTCATTCTAAATTTACCAAAAATCCAAATTCACCGGAAATTTTACTTGTTTGCCAAACTGTATGAATAAGTCAAGAAAAATATTTGGTTGACTAACAAAAAAGGAAAAGGAAATCACAAGATAAGAATGTACCATCTTCCTCCCTCTGCACAAAGTCATCTTCAGACACTGCCTGGGCGTCTTCAGGTGAATCTGAATCCATGATATGTGGATGTACATGGCTTATTTTCTCAGCTGTGGTTCCCAACATTCCCAACCTTCTACGCTTCTTAAACCTTGAGCTGATGCAACACAGTTTGGAAAATCAAACAGAGAACATAGCAGTAGCACCTTGCAAAGTGATGAATAGCTTACGAGTAGGAAAATGTTTGATGTCTTGGATCAACTCCCTCAGCCACAAGCTGAAAATAAATGGGATTATTAGTTCCAAATATTAGAAACAAAATGCTTCAATTTAAATCAATTACTAATGATTCATGGATTTACTATGCCAAGCACGTAAAACTTATGCAAAGCAGATTCTGCGAGGTATCCTGCACATTCGTCAAAGAATTTTGCAGAAAGCATGGGTTGATCATCACCAAGAGGCATAATATGTGCAGCTCATGGCCTTTGCATACAAGAAAGTAGGATGAAAAGCTAAGAACAAAACTGGGAATTTAATTAGCAGAAAACCAAGGGATATTCTTGTTATGTGGGAATAAGCTATCGCTTATCAATGGAGCGCCAGCAAAGGTCACAAGACGGATACACCACAGCTGGTCTCGGTGCTAGAGTGTGACTTACACCGACTCAGGCCCAAGTCATATTGATTCAGTCAATCCACCCAAGCTAATTGTTTGGTGCGGTTAGTCCCTCGATTAGTCAGGATTAACTCTTTTTATTCAAATTAGTTGTACCCCAAGTCATATTGATTCAATGAGTCCACCCAAGCTAATTGTTTGGTTCGGTTAGTCAGGATTAATCAGTTTTATTCAAATTAGTTGTACTTGTTAGGAATCCTAGAGTTTTATTCAAATTAGTTGTACTCGTTAGGAATCCTAGATACAAGGATTATCTAAATGAATGGTGCTCCATTAGGGGTGCTACAGATAAGATGGGTTGGATACTGCATAAAACCACGAGATGTAAATTGTAATCTACTGAGTCAAGTCAAGCAAAGAGCTAAGGAAAACAAGTCTTTCCTGCTCTCTGCCTCACCCTCTCTCCTATCCTTGCGCAGCTGCGCCTAGCGCTTCCAGCCCAAGACCTAGCCCAACCCACAAACAGTACCCCAAACACCAACCTCACACTAAAGGGCAGCCCGGTGCATGTAGCTCCCGCTTGCGCAGGGTCCGGGGAAGGGTCCGACCACTTTGGGTCTATTGTTCGCAGCCTTTCCCTACATTTCTGCAAGAGGCTGTATCCAGGACTCGAACCCGTGACCTCATGGTCACAAGGCAGCAGCTTTACCACTGCGCCAAGGCTCCCCTTCAAACACGAACCTCACACTCACGAGATAATACTCTCCGACAAAATTCATTCCATGAAATCAAGACATATAACTTAGAACACTCGGTTCAAACAGCTAACTTGGAAGTTCTAGATCTCTGATTTACCTCAGTTCTCCAGACATCAGTCTTCAGACTAACATTAACAGCCTGGCATTCTTCAGATATCTGTTTGAGCATAATGAACAAATTACGATCAAAGTACGACAACAAGCAAATAAGATTTAGTGATGGAAATTTCGGAGGTTTACCAACCCAAAACTCAAAGTGGAATAGGTCATGTGATGAGTTCAAGTGACACCCCAAACCCTAGTACCACCAGAATCACAACATTAGAGACTTGCCCTGAGAAAGTGGGCACAAAGATTGTTCCCAAATAAATAGAAAGGTCGTGCAGAAAGCAAACACAATCATAATTTCATCACAAAGAACATCAAGACATTAGTGGTGCAGTGAGAATAAAATGTTTGGTTTTACCTAACTGTAGCAGGTGAAATGATCCACCAGCCAATAGTGGCAAAGTGAGATTTGAATAAATACAGCGCAAATGGAACTTTGCATCAAACTTTACCTTGTAGCTTCCACATTTTACCAAGCAGAAGGGGCAAGCAAAATCTTCAGTGACTGGTAAGAAAAGACCAATATAAGAAACAAAAAAAAACAAGAAGAGCAAAGAATCACGAACCAACCAGAAGTTTTTACCAACAAATGTCAATAAGTGACATAAACTGACCATAGGTAATTGCGCAAATCTAACACTGGATCTTTGTCATGATCAGCATTCACAACAAAGGACTAAAAAAACACGGCTGGAGCTATACGGCATTCAATCAGCAATACGTACGTTAGTACATGCGGTCATGGGTAAACATATGCCTTAAACTACGCCACCAAATACAGCACATAGCACTCCTTCTATGATTAAATTAAGATACTTTGGTCTCCCATGCTGAACACGTTCGTAAATTTATTCTTCCAATTTCAATGTTACACTATCCTTCTGAAGCGCTACAGATCATATGAGGTGTGTGCTTTCTGTCTTATGCACCAGCATTTTCAGTAATTGCATCTTTTTTAACGGAGCATATCTGACTTTTGCGTTTATGGTAATGACACAGAACTTGATTTTCAGAACAAAAAAATGCACAATTCATAATTAATCAAATGGATATGACTGATGTTGTAAAGAGAGAAATTTATAAGCCATTTCTTAAGTTAAAAATATATCAGTACATTAAAACCATTATACTTACCATTACCGAACTTAGCTCGCCAGCTTTAGTTCCAGGATCATATGCTAACCTAAAGCGTAACAGCATAAAGTTCTCCACTAGGTTACTAGCTATGGCACCACAATTAGTGTGACAAAGTAATAAGATTACCACCATCAAACAGAAGTAGCTATTATTCCAACATGTGTACCATGAAAGGGTCTTAGCAGAATATCTTTTAATAGTTCAATGCTGGTGAATCATTTATTCAGATATCTAACATATCTAGTTCATTACTTTTCAGTCAGGTATAAGGAGAAAATGTGGAACACCTAGAGAAAATGTCAAACACATGATACAAACAAGTGTGAGTGGAAGTGTGGAACTGAAAAATACATGAACCCAAATGTTTGTGTAAGGGATAACCTTCAGTCTTTTGCATAGTATTGTTGTAGTACTTGAAGTTGAAAAGCACATTACCAGCTCTCAACCTGTGTGGAAAACAAAAAAATTATATCTGCTCAATTGGTCATATTGAAACGCAAATGCATTTGTAGAGATGAAAGTAAAAGCAAAGTGTCACACTAAGACCTGGCCAGACAACAGGTGCTTCGGTTAGGCTAAGGTCACACAAGAGCACAACAAACCTGAGCCGGTAGCCAAAACCTCACCACTAGGCACTAACAGAAATTTGATATACTGACTCCATTCCTTTACCTGCCCTTTCAGGCATCTAAATCTATATAGAAGGTACCAATACATGTTTGTGGAATCCACACAATTTGAACCATCCATCCAACTTTCACCGAATGATTCAGAATTTTAGTTGGACATTCTCAGATTCGGCTTTAATTGCACAATAATCCTCTTAATAAACCTCCATCTTATTTATTTTCCTCCTACCTTAATTGTAAGTGAAATCCTAATCCCTCCTCTGATTTCTCTTGTGTGCACTCACTCACTCTGTGTGCTCTTCTCTCAACAACGCTTTATGGGCAAGGTGACATATTTCCCCCCTCTTCTCCCCACGCACACATGCCCACTTCCCTCTCGTTATCTGCCACCTTTGCGGCTCACCTGCCAATCGCACCCCACTGCGCTATCTATTGTGTGGCGCTGAGAACTTCTTTGTGTTTGCAATATGTTCATTTCATTTTGCATTATGTCCCTATGACCAATGCCATCACTTTCTTCAACTATATTTCAGGAAAGCCACTAAAAGTAATATAATGATCTGAAGGTATTTTCTATGGAAAATCTAGAACTATTATTTGAACATGACAAATCAGTGTATATTTGTGTATATTAGCACCCAATTTAAAAGATAGACTCCACGCATTCTAAAACAACACCTAACAATGAACAGGTCCATCTTAGCCCGCTCAACTGTCACAGATGTCCAGTTTTCACCCTCAACTATGAAACAGAACATTTAACAGCCTGTCCATGTTGGTGTTGCCACATTTGGTACATGCCATCCACACACATAAAATGTTCTCAGCAAGCAGCAAGCTCAGCTGCGCTGACTGCAAAACAGTGGCCATCTACTAAACCCTGTCAAAAACTCAAAATAGATATCTTCGAACCAAGCTTTCCAAGCAAGTAAATGCAGTTACTCACGACTCTATTACAATAAATAGAGATATAGATATGCAATTACATGTAGTAGTGTTACCTTATGATATGTGGTAATGATGAAGGTGGGACACCACTGTATGAGTAACTACTATATGGAGATTCAGACATGTCTTTTGCACCAGCTTCTTGAGCAGATATGCCTACTTGGAGTTGATATGAACCCTGCAACAATAATACAAATCTCAGAGAAGCTACGGAAGTAAATAACAGAACATACTGCAGTAAGGTGCTGCCATCCTATATAGAAAATACTTACCACTTAAATGCGGAAACAATTATTAGATAAAAAATAAAGTAACAGGGATAAACTTACCGTAGCATCAACCTTATGAGAGCAAAATGTCAAGCAACTGTCCTGCTCCATAAATTTCGGCTGCATATATAACAAAAGGAAAGGCAAGTAGATCAACATATAGTCAAGTACGGGCATCTTTGGTTCAAGGCTAACTTTGCTTAAGCAATGTGTGGCTTACCGCAAAAGAGTGGCTAACAAAATTAAAGCCACAAGTGTGGCAAAAGATTGTGTCTATGACACATGGGCCATATAGGTAGTTAAGTGTGTGGTAAAAAATGAGTTGTGCAAAAGATTGTGTCTATGACACATGGGCCATATAGGTAGTTAAGTGTGTGGCAAAAAAAGAGTATGTACCTCAAAAAACTGTGGCTTGACTATGGTTAAGCATGGCAAGTTGTGCAAAAGATTGTGTCTATGACATATAGGCCATGTAGGTAGTTATGTGTGGCAAAAAACAAGTATGTACCTCAAAAAGCTGTGGCTTGCCTATGCTTAAGCGTGGCAAGTTGTGACTGGGAACCAAACAACCCCTAAGATTGGCAAGTAGTTGCCACTACACTGCATATTCTCTCTCTTGATTTAACAATTTTCTATTAAAAACAAAAAAGATAGCAGATGAACTGAATGAAACACATTTGCACAATCACTGGAATAACCATAAACTACAATTTCAACCTTTACTGTTAATGTTCATCTTATAATATGTTCAGTTATCTTGATGCAAATTGCACTGCTAATTTGACGATTTTCCATCTGAACTTCTGGAATGGGATGTGCTAATTAATTGCAAGCACTACAGCCTTCTAGATAGCAGAAGGTACATGGGGTAGATCGTCAAAATTTAACGTACAGGTAGCTAAGGTAATTTATTTAGTTGAAACATGCTTCAGGTGCTGCAAAAGGATTTTGCTTCATCCATCCTATGGTTAAATACTACAGAAAATTTGCAGTGCATACAATAGGAACATTAAAGCTTAAAACCATGAGCAAGTTGAATTGGCATACCTCTAAGAAACTTGGGCTCATACTAACTGCAGAAGCCAACTCCACTGTATGTCCCAAATTTAAAGTTACACAGTTCTCCAAAGACGAACCAAGTAGATCAATTGGTATTTTACCCCAGAAACATTTCCCTTCAAGCTCTGACAAAATGAATCACATAGATGATAGTAAATAACTGCACTCAACAACACTACAAATCATAAGTGGTTTCTGAGATTCAATGTGTTCTTTACACTTTATTTCAGAAGGCACATGTGCAAATACTAGCCAGTATGGGTGACTGACAATAACTATACCCTAAAAGGAGATAAAATAATCTAAACTAATGCATACATGGCCTAGTAGCCCCTTGTCAAAAACCGATAATGCAATGTTTAAGGATACTTTTCATTTGATTCTCCTAACCACAGTAAAGTCGGTAAACATAGCCAGATCTTGCTCACCTACACTTTGTTAAGTAGTTATCCATGGATTAAAGGAATGTTTGTTAACTATTTTTATTTCCAACGACTGTAATACTAATCTTCCATGCAAGAGAAGGCCTGGTAAGTTGCTGTTGGCTGTGAGATAGGTGGTTCCAAGGGTTGGATTGGTTTGGCCAAGAATATTGGGCGTGAACTAGCTTAGCATACTGGGAGATAAACATAGTGTGATCACTGGTTTTCATTCTTGTCAAGAATTGGGCATTTGAGAATGCAATTGTATCTTCCACCACATGATAAGCAACAGTAACTGGCTAGTGGTAACTCAACCTGTGTGGCACACATTTTGTGTGGCACACATTTTGTGTGGCTGTCTAAATGACTTACTTGCTACTCCCTCTGTAAACTAATATAAGAGTGTTTAGATCACTACTTTAGTGATCTAAACGCTCTTATATTAGTTTACGGAGGGAGTAAGTTTTAACATATTGTGTTAAACAACTATAAGCATGCACTTATTCTAGTAACTGTTTAGTATTTTTTTCACAAAATAACAACCACAAACTTACTTTGGAGAGCAGAGCCTTCAACATGGTCCACAGAGAAGTTACTTTCACCAAGATTTTCCCCAACTTGCCCTTCCGAAACTAAAAAGGGAACCAAATGTGATGATGGTGAAGAAATGTAAAACCATAAACATCACATATGAAGCACATCATACCACAGCTGATAAGGATAATGTTAAGGTTGCAAGCTCGGGAGGTTGATAAATTCTTGATGTCTGGAATTATAAATGTAGCTTTGGTGCGACCTTTATTACCAAATTCACTAAAAGCTGTAAGCAAACAAGCCCGACTGAATCGATATATCGGAGAATGCTGCAAAACATTATGCATTAATGAGATAAGAGATCATTTGGTACAAAATGTTGCATGTGTGGAACTAAAAAAAAGGCAGACTTACCCCTTCAAGCGAAATATTACTGGTAGGTGTAGCCAACAGAACATAAAGAGGAAAGATATTCTGTTCTGGCAACTCAGTATTTGTACTTCGAGATAGTGATACCGTTATCTGAATCCTACATCCATAGCACAGACACTGATCAATATTTACACGATGAATAGACAATTAAATCCAAAAGTGGCTAGTACATAGTTTAACAGACATTACACCTGAGAACTTAATCACTTGGGCCTTGTTTGGCCAAGTTACCGTTTCAGCTTCTACTAGGGTGTGTTTGTGGTGGTTTCGAGCTGTTGGGCGAACGAATTTGTCGAGGGCCATGAGAAAAGCTAGCGAACTGTTAAAGCCCGGGCACACCGTAAACTAAAGTACTTCACTTTGCTCTACGAAGAACCATACTTTTTTTGCGAATACCAAGAGCCATACTTGAATAAACATCATGTGTATAGTACACACACTAAAGTCCCATAGATCACAAATGTACCAAATGTGTAATACAATATATAGTACCACCTCTGTTTCAAATACCAGGCGTATTAAGTTTCAGTAGAACAAACATTTGACCAGGAATTAAACTATTGCTATGTAACAATTGAGCTACAAAGACATAACCACAAATTTGTGCTTTAGAAGATGACTCTAATGATATCAATTTCAGTCCACAAAATTCTACTACTTTAGAAGATGGGTCTAATGTAATGCTCATGCTAGGATCACACTGTGCGTGAGTGTGTGACCCCTCCGACATGACCTATCTGGAAAAATATCCTAACCCTAACACAGAGCGTCTCACTCATGTGTATCGCATGTAGGAAAACCCCTGGCAAGATCCCAGTCATGCCATGTCACCGCCAGCATGCCGTTCTTTTGCCTGCCATACCCTGGTTCGATTGGACTAAAATTGATCCGCTTTGCCAAATTAAGGGAGGCAGATGCATGATTTGCAAGGTGGCATGCCTAAGTGTTTCCACTTGCCAAGTTTATCGACTTCTGATGCATTTCTCTTCTACTTTTTATGATCATGTATGTGCTAACTGTTGCATGGCCTACCTAGGCAATGGCATTCGGAAGGGAAATTATCAATCCAATTAGTTTCCAAATGACTAAATAAGCATTAAGAATAATGAAAAAATCATACTACGTTCTTCAAATTATTGGGTGGAGTAGGATCTACGGTTTGATACTACTGTGTTCAGAGCATTTCCAATTTGATTCAACTCTAATCGTAACAACCTTATGTACGCGGTTCCAAGAGAGCTAAAGGAATCAGCAAAGTACATAATAGTGAAGTCTCTGCAATTCGCAAATAAAAAATAGTGAAGTGTCCACTATGTAAAAAAGAAAATACGTTTTGAAACAGGACAGTCCTTTCTTTTTCTCGACATGTTGGATTTGGATCACAACAATTCCGAGTGTCAGCATGTTCTGCAGTAGAGTCAAAGTGTGTACCTCTTTTTTCGGCTTGCATGTATCTTGTAATGAAGGCATCTTTGCAGAAAAGCGGGCTGTAAAAGTCAGTGAGAGATCATTGGTATCTCAAATCACTAGCACATGATGGTTATGTGATAAACACATGTGATTCATGTCAAATGAAGCTGCAAAATTAAGATGGAACTTACATTTCTAATGGCTCGCCGCTGAATAATATTGTATAGCTCAACTGGCTTGCAGTACAACGCAAAACTTTCTTCAGCAGCAAGCTGCTCATCTGGAGATAATCGAGCTCTCAGCTGTTCCTGGCGCATCTGGTCTGCAGACTGAGGGTAACTGAATTCACACCCAGCGTCCCTGCATGTATGCAGCACCAACATCAAAAGAAGAAGATACATTCATCTCATCTCACTATTAAGATCAAGAAAACCATCTACCATATATACATGAGTGCATATCTGCAAAGCAGCTGAACAGTTACAGAATAACTAAGCTACTTTTCAGAATCTGGATACAACCAAGGTGGGCCACACAGATTTCCAGTGATTAATTCTTAGAAATAAAAATGGCCAATTACTAGTTTCCAGGTGCAACCAGCCGACATAGGTTACCAATCAGGGATGAGTCAATAGACAATACTCATTTATTAATTTCCAAATGCAACCAAGGTAAGCTCTGAATATACTCACACATTAATTCTTGGAAGTAGCCACTTACAGTGAAAAGAACTTCACTATCCCACAAAGCATCCGACACACACAGAGACCACAGTGCAGTATCCAACTGCGATTCTAACATTGTACCTAATTTTTTTTTTCTCCTGGGTTGCCCACACAGACATAACCAGGCAAATTCGACACAACTCAAGTAACAAGTAGCACGAGTATAGCATAAGCACAGCAACAACAAAATAGGTTAGGGGGGAGAGGCGTACGCTGCGTCCCGGGCAGGTAAAGGTAGGCCAGGCATCCTCCTCGCTGCCGCCGAGCGCCTCAGGGTCGCGGACGGGCGGATTTAACAAGGGGCGTCAACCGGCGGGGACTGGTCTAGATGGTGCGCCGGCACACCAGAAATTTGTAGAGGTTAAATTAGTTAGGGTTCGATTTGAGTGATAATAATCACTGGATGGAAGAAATCGCGGCCATACCTCAAAGACCGATGTCGAAGCTCGCGGACGGGGTGGAGAGAGCAGGGACGGCGACGGCGGCGGCGTCGAGGCGCGTCAGTGGCGGCGGCGTCGAGGCGCGTCAGTGGCGGCGGCGTCGAGGCGCGTCAGTGGCGGCGACGTTCCGGTCGTGAGGCGTCGGCGACGGCGCGGCGGCGGAGAGAGATTTAGAGCCGCATTGGACCGGAAGGGAGCACCAGAAGAAGAAATTAGTTTTTCCTTTTCCTCTTTATTTTATCAACTACTCCCTCCGTTAACAAATATAAGAGCGTTTAGATCACTAAAGTAGTGATCTAAACGCTCTTATATTTCTTTACAGAGGGAGTACCTCCGAGCCTCCGCGTCGATCCGAGACTTTGAGCGTCCGATCATAATGATGAATGTACCGGAAGCATTTGCTTTTCCGAACCTCCACGTCGATTCGAGACTTTGAGCCGTCCGATCATAATCGTGGACGCATCAGTGGACGCATCGAAACGATCTGCTTTTCCGAGCCTCCACGTCGATGTGAGAATTTGAGCCGTCCGATCATAATCGTGGACGCATAGAAAGGATCTGCTTTTCCGAGCCTCCACGTCGATGTGAGAATTTGAGCCGTCCGATCATAATCGTGGACGCATCGAAAGGATCTGCTTTTCCGCAAGGCGTTTCTTTCCTTGTTCGCGTCATTTCACGTTAGCTGACTGGCCCAACTTATCATCGTTGTTACTCTACAAACTGATCCAGAGGCCCTATAGTGAACCAGCCCAACACGCCATGGGCCTCACACCACATAACCGTGACACATCCATGTGACAACTTCTAAGATTCTCTCGGCCCGACGAGCGCCCACGGCGATATTTCCGCATCGAACCGCATCATCTACTAGCGGCGTTGTATCCATGGTGATGGGGCTCCTAATTCATACGTTTTACTTCCTTCTTCTGTCGCCATTAATGCAAGATGGTGGTGGATGTGCCGTGTGCGTTAACTATACCTTTTGATTTGCTTCATCTATCTATATAGCCTTTTGGTCATCCCATAATGAGCAATGCTACACAGCCGATGATTTTGCGGACGATGCATGGACGACATAGGCTAATAATTGTTGGATTGAATCCCTCCATACCTAAGCAACGTCAGATCCTACCATCGTCACCTGTCATGCATAACAAGTCGTGTGTGCAGCTATTCCGTCCCATAATAGTTTTGTGTTTGTTTTTTCCTCCTATCAATCCGCAATGCCTTGTCTTCCATCCACCGCCACCTGAAGAGGAGATGTGACAGCATCTATAGGTGGCAAGATCCACACACGTGGGCGACATTCTCACAAAGGTGTCGCTGCACCGCCCGTTCCACATTCCATCACTAGCAGAGAAGCGTTGAGGGTCGAGGCCAACATGGCACACATCAATGAGAGGATGGTGTCGGTGTCAAAATCGGCAGATCTCAGTTAGGGGGTCCCGAACTGTGGATATTGAATCAATGGGGAACAAGGGACGCAGAACACGATATTTACCCGGTTCGGGCCCTCTCTAAGAGGTAATACCCTACGTCCTGCTTGATTATATTGCTTGTGTATATGGGGATTACAGAGTTGATCTATATGGGGATTACAGAGTTGATCTACCTCGAGATCAGAGGAACTAAACCCTAACTAGTAGGATGGCGATTGTTCTCCTCGTCTCTACGGACTAACCCCCTGGTTTATATAGACACCAGGGATACTAGGGTTTACAGATAGTCGGTTACATCAAGGAAACACCAGATCTTTCATCTTGACTTGGGGTACACAACAAGGCACAAGTGTCTTCGGTCCGGACACGGTGCAGTCCAACAATATGGCCCGTGTGAGATGAGCCGGCACCCCGAGAATCCCCTAATCCATGACTCCCTCAGTAGCCCCTGAACTAGCCTTCAACGTCGGTTTCATATATCTCCCATGACTGCAGGCTCTGGCTTGCAAGCGAGTTCCCATTCTCCCGAGTGTTCGAAATAATCCTCCTCCAGAGAAGTCTTCAAATGATGCTTGATCAAATTCGGCCATACGCCGAGCCGTGTCCGAAGTCCGACCTATCTGTTTCACTTAGCCCCGAGGGACAATCGTTCGAGTGTGAACAGTATCCTTGACTGACAACTTTTGGCGAAGGGCCGCGCCCGATTATAAACATAAAGACTTGATACGCGGCTCGAGGTCACCCCTTCATAGGCACGTCTCTTCGACGTGGAGATCATGTCCCATTTCTTAAGGGATTCGATCAATGATTTCACAGCATCCCACTCACGCATAATGCCACAACTTTATCGGGAATAGGCGAGGTGAGCGGCACATTTATATGACTATTGGTATTACTGAAGGAAATATGCCCTAGAGGCCATAATAAAGTTATTATTTATTTCCTCATATCATGATAAATGTTTATTATTCGTGCTAGAATTGTATTAACCGGAAACATGATACATGTGTGAATACATAGACAAACTTAATGTCACTAGTATGCCTCTACTTGACTAGCTCATTAATCGAAGATGGTTATGTTTCCTAACCATAGACATGTGTTGTCATTTGATTAATGGGATCACATCATGAGGAGAATGATGTGATGAACTTGACCCATTCCGTTAGCTTAGCACTTGATCATTTAGTATGTTGCTATTGCTTTCTTCATGACTTATACAAGTTCCTACAACTATGAGATTATGCAACTCCCGTTTACCGAAGGAACATTTTGTGTGCTACCAAACATCACAACGTAACTGGGTGATTATAAAGGAGCTCTACAGGTGTCTCCAAAGGTACATGTTGAGTTGGCGTATTTCGAGATTAGGTTTTGTCACTCCGATTGTCGGAGAGGTATCTCTGGGCCCTCTCGGTAATGCACACCACTATAAGCCTTGCAAGCAATGTAGCTAATGAGTTAGTTACGGAATGATGCATTACGTTAGGAGTAAAGAGACTTCCCGGTAACGAGATTGAACTAGGTATTGAGATACCGACGATCGAATCTCGGGCAAGTAACATACAGATGACAAAGGGAACAATGTATGTTGTTATGCGGTTTGACCGATAAAGATCTCCGTAGAATATGTAGGAGCCAATATGAGTATCCAGGTTCCGCTATTGGTTATTGACCGAAAACAGTTCTAGGTCATGTCTACATAGTTCTCGAACCCGTAGGGTCCGCACGCTTAAGGTTTCGTTGACAGTTTTATTATGAGTTTATGAGTTTTGATGTACCGAAGGTTGTTCGGAGTCCCGGATGTGATCACGGACATGACGAGGAGTCTCGAAATGGTCGATACATAAAGATCGATATATTGGACGACTATATTTGGACACCGGAAAGATTCCGGGTGAGATTGGGACAATACCAGAGCTCCGGGAGGTTATCGGAACCCCCCGGGAGGTATATGGGCCTTATTGGGCCTTAGTGGAAAGGAGGGAGAAGAAGCAAAGGAGGGGCGCCCCCCCCCCAAGCCCAATCCGAATTGGAAGGGGTCCCCCCTTTCCTTCTTCCCTCCCCCCTTCCTTCCCTCTCCCTCTCCTAATAGGAAAAGGGGAGTCCTACTCCCGGTTGGGGTTGGACCCCCCCTAGGGCGCGCCAACCCCCCTTGGCCGGCCCCCTCCTCCACTCCTTTATATACGGGGGAGGGGGGCACCCCATAGAGACAACAATTGATCTCTTGATCTCTTAACCGTATGCGGTGCCCCCCTCCACCATAGTCCTCGATAATATTGTAGCGGTGCTTAGGCGAAGCCCTACGACGGTAGAACATCAAGATCGTCACCACGCCGTCGTGCTGACGGAACTCTTCCCCGACATTCTGCTGGATCGGAGTACGGGGATCGTCATCGAGCTGAACGTGTGCTAGAACTCGGAGGTGCCGTAGTTTCGGTGCTTGATCGGTCAGGCCATGAAGACGTACGACTACATCAACCGTGTTGTTCTAGCGCTTCCGCTTTCGGTCTACGAGGGTACGTGGACAACACTCTCCCCTCTCGTTGCTATGCATCACCATGATCTTGCGTGTGTGTAGGATTTTTTTTTGAAATTACTACGTTCCCCATCAGTGGCATCCGAGCCAGGTTTTATGCGTAGATGTTATATGCACGAGTAGAACACAAGTGAGTTGTGGGCGATACAAGTCATACTGCTTACCAGCATGTCATACTTTGGTTCAGCGGTATTGTTGGATGAAGCGGCCTGGACCGACATTACGCGTACGCTTACGCGAGACTGGTTTTACCGCCATGCTTTGCACACAGGTGACTAGCGGGTGTCTGTTTCTCCAACTTTAGTTGAACCGAGTGTGGCTACGCCCGGTCCTTGCGAAGGTTAAAACAACACTAACTTGACGAACTATCGTTGTGGTTTTGATGCGTAGGTAAGAATGGTTCTGCTCAGCCCGTAGCAGCCACGTAAAATTTGCAACAACAAAGTAGAGGACGTCTAACTTGTTTTTGCAGGGCATGTTGTGATGTGATATGGTCAAGACGTGATGCTATATTTTATTGTATGAGATGATCATGTTTTGTAACCGAAGTTATCGGCAACTGGCAGGAGCCATATGGTTGTCGCTTTATTGTATGAAATGCAAACGCCCTGTAATTGCTTTACTTTATCACTAAGCGGTAGCGATAGTCGTAGAAGCAATAGATGGCGTAACGACAACGATGCTACGATGGAGATCAAGGTGTCGCATCGGTGATGATGGTGATCACGATGGTGCTTCGGAGATGGAGATCACAAGCACAAGATGATGATGGCCATATCATATCACTTATATTGATTGCATGTGATGTTTATCCTTTATGCATCTTATC